CTTCTAGAATTAGCTACATGGGCTTACCCCAAGGTTCATGTTTAAGTCCCTTACTTTATAATTTCTATGTCAAAGATATTGATAACTGCTTAGATAATCAACGCACGCTTAGACAGCTTGCAGATGATGCCGCGGTTTCCATGAGAGGTCCACGTGCAGAAATCTTGCAAAGACCATTGCAAAATTCCCTAAATAATCTGTCTCTCTGGGCAAGAAATTTAGGGATCGAGTTTTCACCGCAAAAAACTGAATTGGTAGTGTTTACAAGGAAGCGGTTTCCAGCCCAACTGCGTCTAAATATTTTGGGCAGAGACATTACCCAATCTTTAACCTTCAAATACCTTGGAGTCTGGTTTGATTCAAAATGTACTTGGGGTACCCACATTACGTCACCCGGGTCACCCGGTAGACCTCATTAAACTATATAAAACGACTATTCTTTCAGTTCTTGAGTATGGCTCTTTTTGCTTCCTCTCGGCAAGAAAAAGCCAGATAATCAAATTGCAACGTATTCAATATCGTTGTTTACGTATTGCTCTTGGTTGTATGCATTCAACACACAATATGAGCCTAGAGGTCCTAGCGGGCGTAAAACCCCTGCAGAACCGTTTCTGGGAGCTCTCATTAAGAATATTGATTAAATGTAGTGTCAGTAACAACCTTGTGATTGAAAACTTCGAAGAAATGCTCGAATTGAGCATCCAGTCTAGATTCGTGCGAATCTATCTTAATTATATGTCATCGGATATTAGCCTTCCTTGCTATAACCCCTCTCGTGTATGCTTTACTAACTACAGTTCCCCCATTGACTATGATCTCTCCATGAAACAGGCTATTCAAGGAGTTCCAGATCAACTTCGACCTATCTCAATTCCCCGCATTTTTGCTGAAAAGTACCAACAAGTCAATTGCAATAGAAGATTTTTCACTGATGGATCACGCATTGATGGATCCACTGGCTTCGGCGTCTTCAATGAATACTCAACCGCCTTTCGGAAACTTCAGGAACCTTGTTCCGTTTATGTTGCTGAGCTAGCAGCAATCAACTTCGCTTTGGGGATGATTTCCGATATGCCCATAGACCATTACTTCATCTTCTCGGATAGTCTCAGTTCGATTGAGGCTATTCGGTCGATGAAACAAGGTAGGGACTCATCTTATTTCCTTTCAAAGGTAAGGGAGCAGATGAGTTTTCTGGTCGAAAGATCATATATGATTACCTTTGTATGGGTCCCCTCACATCGCTCAATCCCAGGCAATGAGAAGGCAGACTCTCTCGCAAAGGTGATCGCACAACAAGGCGGGATTTATGATAGAAGAATTTCACATGATGAATTTTTCCCATTAGTACGTCAGAGTTCTCTTTTAAGTTGGCAAAACGATTGGACAAATAATTCTCTTGGGCGGTGGTTACATTCCATTATTCCAAATGTTTCTTCGTGAGCGTGGTTCAAAGGTCTGGATGTAAGTCGGGGATTCATTCGAGTGATGTCAAGACTTATGTCCAACCACTACTCGCTAGACGCACATCTCTATAGAATAAACCTCGTTGACAGCAATATGTGTAGGTGCAGAAGTATGCCCGGGTAATGACGCCTCCAGAGCACGACTGTTGGATACCTTAGTGGCCCGAGGTAGACAACCCTTCCGTGAAGTAAGAGATGTATTGGGAACACGTGATCTTCCCTACATGCAAGCGATCTACGAATTCCTTTGTTTGTCTGATGTTAGAGTTTGATGTGACTATCCCCTCCTTTCCAAACAATTTTCCGCCATTGTGTCCCAGTCTTATTATCCTCCTGTTCCTTTGCTACTTGCCCCAGTCCAGCCAGGATTTGGTCAACCGTCCGAGAGTCAGGAGGCTTCAGAAACCAGTTCCCTACCTAGATCCTTCCAATTGAAATTGTTACCCATTAACCTCGAGCACGCCACGAGTAATTGGTACACAATACTAACCTAGAAATACTGCTATTTAAAATGTAAATCAAACAAATGTAAAGTGTCACACACGACTGAGCCTAGTAAATAAACGAACTAGTTAAAAAAAATCTTGGAGGGCTTTGGTAATACAGGTATACCTCGATATAACGTAACTGTCACTTTTGTCACAATCATACAAGTTGACATGATCATTGCTCCATATCTCCGATGCTGTGATTACTTTGCTTGATTGAATGATAGTTTGGGAGAAATCGACGATAGACAGTTACGATATATCGAGGTAATGAATGATTGTTTGACCTACTACTAATTTTTTGCTGCAAATGTGGTCTACTTTCACCTCCTTTCGGGTGTAACACAAATTACCAGTCATAGGGTTACGGTATGTAATGTGGGTCTAGTCCTTTCATTCGGCCTATCACGCAAATAAATAATTAATTAAGGAATATTACACAAAAAATAAGGAAAATATTGATCACTGATGATTGATAAATGTGTACCACACACAAATCAATTTATATCACAACATTTCAATACATTTTCAGCTCTCGTAAGTAATAAAACTGGTTGAGAATATCACTCTGTTCGGAGTTTTTAGCCGCCATGACTTCTAAGGTTAAGATGGGAAGGTTGCACTGACGATCATCAAATGGCCTGATTATGGCATTTATTGAATGGAATTACCTGATAATACACACTAGACGTAAAACTCACAGTTACTGTTTGAATATTTTATGTTTATTTTAATTGTTTAACAACGTTTTCACAAGTAAATCATGGACCCAACTTTAGGGACACATTTCTTTTCTATGTTCCTAACTTTGGCCCATGAAATTCATTTGACAGCATATAGCAATAAGAGTAACGTCAACAATGTGGTTTGCATTTGGATGATAAGGAACGAACAGGAAGGGAGATTTTTTCTGCCAAATCTGTATAATGAACATCACAATGTTTTGATTTAGATATTCTGCGGTCGAAAGACGATAAGCGAAATTTTTAATTTTTAATTTTTAACTTGAGTGATTTAATGTAGTTTTCGTAAAATTTTCTCTAAGAAATGTTTTGAGGAATGAAGAGTATTAAGTTAACAGTGATAGTGATAAAAAAAAATACATAAGAAAACGTTGCCAAGAGCGTTTTTTTTGAGAATCAAACAGGATAGGACGAAGTTGCATCCATAAATAGACCCAATTTGGGGACAATAGACCGATATTACATACATTTCCCTGGTGAGTTTTTGTCTTAAAAAAGTAAGTTTTTCAACTTTTTGCGGTTCCTGATAGCAAACGACATGATAAGCATATCTAAGCATACCATTTAGCAGTAGAATATCGTTTGCAGGTAAATTAATTGATGAGTTATGATTAAAAACGTAATCTATGGCTGCATATTAGACCGAGGTTAGGGACGTATACCCTATATAAATGGTGTGGTTTTTAGGATGAATATCGGTCCCAAGCAAATACATCTTATATGATTGTTCTGCATAAATTATTGAAATAATTTTCATTGAACATGATTGTTAGTTGAACTAAATATTGCTAACATCAATGATACTGTATTGAATAATCTTGTGAAAGCATTCAAAGCACCAGTGAATTCACTTTTCTTTCCGTTCGATAGGCCAAGAGAATCCCAATGGCGTTTCAATCGCCTCAATCTGGCGGTACGACCAAAAGCAAATGTTTTTTATGTGTTGCTCTTTTAATTTCTCAACAGCCGACTATCGAAAGACTATATTAATTTTATTTAGTATTTGTGCATTTTAAGGCTTATAGTTACCGAAAGGTAAGGATAAGTAATGGTCATCTTATGGTTATTACGGTGCTCGAAACCCGGCGTTGTAGAAGAGCTTGAAATTAAACCCATGATTTTCTGCTCAGTAAGCAAAAACAATCCCTCCAGAGTCATCGAGCATTTCAAAACCACAACGCTCTACAACAAAATACCTGGTATGATTGGTATGTAAAGAACGACTATAATTCAATTAGTTTCAAATTGTGTGTTTATAGACAATAATTCAAAACTTTACAAAAAATCGGTCATTTTCGATGTTTTTTTTTCAAAATGGCGTCTTTGTAATTTTTCAATAAATTGAAGCACGAAAACATCATTTCTGATCAAAATAAAGTTTGTGACAAAGTTGCTGAGAATTAATTTTTTCTTCTTCTCGGTTTTTTAAGTCTATCTTTGTTTTGCGTACTGAGTACCAATGCTACCGACGCCAGCGAGGCAGCTCCCACACCTTTATCAAATTTTCAACAGTTTTTGTTCGGTAAAAATCAAGCATTTTAATTCTATAGCTTTAAATATCCAAAACAAGAAAAACTTCACCACAATTGCAAAAGTCGATTATGTGAACTGATAGTGTTTTGAAAATTAGCAAACGATCGGCAGCTGAAAGTTCAGTAAAAGATTTTCGAAGTTGGTAATAATTTCAGTTACTGTACTAGGGGAAATGGCTCTAATGTTTGGCCTATGGATCAAAAAATAGGCACATCGCTAAAAGTCTATTGATTTTATTTTCCCGACTACTCGGGTAGCGAATCCATTTAACCTGCCTTCATCCGTATGAATCCAATGTTGTTTCACGGACGGAGCTTAAACTCGTTTGTCGGAATTGGAATCAAGAAGCAGTGCTAGATTTTTAACATTCTCCTAACAGAATGTGACTCTTAATCAAATTCAACGATACGTTTGGGAAGCAACATTAATTAAGAAGTTCTTTTTTTGATAGAAACAATCCATTTTTGATCAAATCTGATGGAAAAAGAGAGGTATAGTGCAATTTGTGCTTAGTAGGATGAAAATTAGATCATAAACCATACAAAGGATATAACACTTTGAAGCTTTTGAGTGCCCATTAACCTCTATAGTTTTACACAGGTTCATATCCCATAACTCTTCCTACACACATTTTTTTTTTTTGGGACTTATGTCTTATGATAATACATTAGAACAGGAGTGAAATTCGTTTTAAAAATTACTTTAATTTATTCTACAACAAGTACAACAAACATGATGATCAGTGCTGCTGGATAATATTGGTACCGAGCTTAATGATGATAGTAAGATGGGTAAGCGACCTTGGCGACTGGAGCAACGAAATGGTGGGCAACTGGAGCAACAATCTTGGCTACTGGAACAACGGCCTTGACGACCTTGTGGGTCAGCGGTTCACGACGAACGACAGCGTTGAATCCATTGTGCTCATCGGCGGTGTAGTCGACAACGCGACGGTAACCATCGGCATCGATCAGGGTGTACTGTCCAACTACGTTGTCTCCGTGACGTTCCTCCTGTTGGCTCTTGATGTCTCCGGTGTGGTCATCGTGAACGGAATATTGGAACTGGTATTCAGCTGGAGCATCATGGTATTCGATGTGCTTAACGGCAACTGGCAGAACAGCGGCACTAGCAGCGGCAACCAGAGCCAGGAGAGCGAAGAACTGCAATTCAAGAAGGTTAGAATGATGGAGGTTAACTTCTAAATAGTATTCTTACTTTAAATGCCATTGTGGTGTAGATTTAAGAATGCTTAGAGCAAGGAGCAAATAGTGCTTGGATGTGTTCGCAAGTAAATGATACTTGATTCGAGCAAAACACACTATTTATATAATCCAATTTGTGTTCTTATCGACACCAAGCGTAGGTTGAGTTAGGTTTATCCTTGACTATTTGGTCTAATTTTTGCCACTACGCATAATCCATTTGCGAATTTCGTGGTCCCTGCCAATCACATTTTCGCAAATTTGTCCAAATGGACCTGTGTTAATTATTTTTCATTAGCTGACTGCCCACAAAGCTGCTCCGTTCGAGGTGCACAGGAGAACCGGTTGTCACCATGCGATTTTTCTATCTATGTTTTCCGTTTTCTCGAAATGCATGAATGAAGAAATTCAAATCGACTCGATAAAAGGACCACGCAGCGATTAACGGCGCCTGCCGGTCTTGTGCTATGGATATGTTAGAGCTGACAGAAATGAAACATGCTTTTAGCCGCGCGCAGGGAGATCTGTCAATCCATTATGGCCCCAAATGGAATATCACGTGCTGCCGAAGGTGTGGTCATTAGCATATCGATTTAGATCATATTTTCGTGAAAATAATGCATGAACTGGAACGAAATTTGTTCTTGTCACCTGTTTGATATAAATACCGAACACATTACGCAGAATAGTATCATTCTATCATCAGCTACCCTTTGAGATACATTTCGCTACCAAAAACTATTCGTAATGGCTTTTAAGGTAAGTTGAGTTCAATTTGTGTAAGTCAACCCATAGTTCTAATAATTTCTCTCCCGACAATTTAGTTCTTGGCTTTGCTCGCCCTGGTTGCCGCTGCTAGCGCCCTTGTTCTGCCAGTTGCCGTCAAACACATCGCGTACCCAGATGCTCCAGCCGAATATCAGTTCTCGTACTCCGTTCACGATGACACTACCGGAGACATCAAGAGCCAACAGGAGGAACGTCACGGAGACAACGTTGTTGGACAGTACACTCTAGTCGATGCCGATGGTTACCGTCGAGTTGTTGACTACACCGCTGATGAGCACAATGGATTCAACGCTGTCGTCCGACGTGAACCACTGACCCAGAAGGTTGTCAAGACTATTGTCCCCGTAGCCAAGTTCGTGGCCCCAGTTGCCCACCACTACGTTTCTCCAGTAGCCAAGGTCGCTTATCCAAGCTACTATCACTAAATCCAAGCACCACACCGCATGCTGAAAAACGCTATCCCATTTGTAGTTTAAATTGTTATTCCTACTAGGATAGATTTAATTTATTAAATTTCAAGTCTTGATAAACAAGAATTTTGAGAGTGTTTGATTTGCTTTCGTTTCACAAATCCGTTTTCTACCTACACGTTAAAGTAAAACGTATTAAAAAACTGCAACATCTGAAATAAGTACCCTGCCGAACGTGTTCCATAAAGCTACGCTACCTTCAAAATCTGATGTGCCTTTAGTGGATTCCAATTTGGCATCCAGATCTGGAGGTCCATGTGTTCGAGGCTGATATCCATCCTTTTGTTCATAAGGCGAAATATTTTGATTATTTAAATTTTTGATGTTTTCTATGTTCAGCACGGATTGGATTAATTCTTTTTTTTGTTTTGCTTAAAGAGACTTAACCCTTCAAGAGCATTTGTCTTTGAATTTATTTAATTCACAATGCATCAAAATCCACATTTCGTTTAGTATACAAAGAAATGAATCCACCCACGCGTTTAAAAAAATATCAATGACTTCTTGATAAAATGTTGTCCTCATACGATCTTGTAGCAGTTCTCCCTTGACAGCCATCAGCATAAAGTAAAAACGCTTTTCTTCGCCCATAGTAGAGCGCAGATAGTTTTTAATCCTGCGTAGAATCGAAGGGTAACGCTCAACAATGGCTGTTATGTTAAGCAAGGTAAAAATAAGTTGTGCGAGCTTTTTTTAAACTTTCTTGGACGCAAATTCTTCGTTTGTGTGGTACCGTCCACCCACTACTATTAATCGGTTATCCTTCATCCAATTGAACTAATTTTCTGAAGATAACTAGTTTATGGTTAACACTAATCTGTGACAAGCCACTGTTAGCGGAATGCTTATACCTGTGATCTTGACATTTTTACTTTGATGGGAATGCACATTGTAGTCGAAGTATGTATCTGCCATGGATACCAGGATTGGTTGAGTGGAATTAAATGGAAGAAGATGATGATGATGATGATGATGGTCCCACCTCTTACCCCTACAAAGGTTTGAGCTGAACGATTTATCTTAAAGATAATTAAATATGACATTTTAAACAGGTTGGCAAACAAAATCGAACTAGTTTCAGTTACAGATATAAATTCCCTCTAGAGTTTACAGTTGCTTCACAGCGATATAAATGTGGAAAAGCTCAGGCGTCCACCTCTTAGTTCGCCTTTTTGTCCACCTAAAATATTCATAAGTATTACAAGCAATCAAGAGTTAATGAACAATCAACAAAGCATCCTATTACACTAGTAACCCCGCAATCTGATGCTATCATAATTTTCAGCAATGTCAGGAATGCTCACGAACCCCCAACATTTGCCAGAAAACTTACTACTAACTCAAGGTATCTTCCAAATAAGCTTCAAAATTGCTTTTTTATTTTTATCAAATTTTAAATTCAGTCCTCTATATCCATAATACACACGCGAGGCTCAAACCTTTGTAGACTACTATTTTTTTTTTACTACTACTATTAAATCAAATATCAAAAATCCATCATCACCATCGTGGCGAACAAAATAGTTTTTGCAGTGCTACAATAATTATTAAAAAGTTGTTATAACAGCTATCCATATAAAATAATCTGTTTAAATTCATAAAAAAAAATCACTGGATAACCGTTCAAAAGACAGTTTTAACGTGTGAAATGCAATGTCTCTTAAATTCTGCTAATGTTGTTGCACGTTTAATGTGTCTAGGCATCGAATTGAAAAGATTTATTCCTTTAAAAAATAATGAATTCTGTGAAGCACAAGTCAAGAAATGTGGTGTTCTTATTTCATCCGCGTTTTTAGTATTATATTTATGATAGTCACTTCCTCTTTCAATTCGATCACACAAATATCGAGGCAGCAAACCGTTAACTACTTTAAAAATGAACACCATAGTCAAATAAACAATTCTTTGCTTCACCGACAACCATTGTAAGGCATCTAGCATCAAAGTTGAGGAAGTGCATCTATTGCATCTCAAAATCAAACGCATTATTTTATTCTGCAAGCGCTGTAATCTCGATATTTGTGCTGCATTGGCCAGAAATAAAATGGAAGGGCAAAAGTCAAGATGAGGAGAGATGATTGATTTGTATAGCTGTATTTTACTGGCAATAGTTAAATCGTTTTTCAATCGACATAGAATTCCATACTTCTTGGCAATTTTCTTGATGACATTGTCAATGTGAGAGTTGAACTGAAGTTTGTCATCAATAATCACGCCAAGATATTTAATCTCCTGAACGCGATCAATAGTCTCATCATCAATTACAACAGAGACGTTCTCATTTAATCGATTCCGCGAAATTACCATAAATTTAGTTTTACTTGTATTCAATTTTAACTGCTTACACTTCAACCATCTACTTAGATACTGCAAATCTTCATTCAAGTGTGAGACGGCAACTTCTAAATCCTTAGCTGCAATGAATAACACAGTATCATATGCAAAAAGATTAATGTCGCAAAACCGTAAAACACGTCGCAAGTCATTAATATACATAATAAATAACAGGGGCCCTAATACACTTCCCTGGGGCACTCCAAGATTGTTCCCCACGGGACTGGAAACAGAATCATTGAAAACTGTCCGTTGAGTTCTGTCAGACAAATAGCTTTCAAACCATTTATATGCAGTACTCGTAATTCCAAAGCGCTTGATTGTACTTAACAGTAAGGGCCTAGAAATTGTTTCAAAAGCGCGTTTCAGATCCAAAAAAACAGCAACAATCGTATCTTTACGCTCCAAGTTGTCTTTCCACTTTGCTAACACCAAATTCAATGAAGTTTCACAAGAATTACCTTTTTTTAAACATTTATACGTCAAAAGGCCAATAGAATCAATCAGAATAGATGCCAAAAACCTTAAAACCGACAAAATTATCATTTAATATAACACCTCATTTCATCTCGGGTGGTCATAGCGGAGACATAGTACGCGAAGCCGTGTGACGGTACGTTGGTCTGTTTCCTCCGCGGAGCGAATCTCTCGGGAAAAGCTCGACTCCGTCGATGCTCAGCCCTCTCGAAAATAAATCTGAAGCCTTCCGTCCAGCCGCCAACTACCTCCGCACCTCTAATTTCGGTCATACCACACGTCACTGCACGCCATTACCGCAGCTAGATCGGCGCCATTTCGAGACCACCGCCATCATCACAGGTCGTCGAAAGGTCGACAGTCACCATCGCCAGGACCTTTGTAAGGTCACCACCCAAGTAACAATCTAAATGCTTGGAAGATTTATTCTTATTTTATCATAGCATCCCTTGCAGCCTGTTATTGTATTACGGTTTTGTGTGATTGTCATATTGTCTATAAAACTGTTTTATGACTACTAAATTAAAACTCAGGCTTCATAGTTTTAACGGTGGCTGTAAGGTGGTTCTGTATCACTATTTATAATTGCAGAATAAAATCAAAACAAAACATACAATTATGTTTTATGGCATAGTTTTTATGACTGATATAAAACTAGAAGCAGTCTTAGACCTTCATTAAAGCCTCATTACAACTATCATCTTTATCAGAGGCCTGAGATTCACAGATTAGAAATATACTACAACAATAACAAAAATACTCTTAAAATTGTTACCAATATAAAACAAACAAATCTATTCACATACATGAAATGAAAACCCCTTCAGAGATACAATTATTAGGTTTATGTTATGCTATAGAATTCCAAACTAGGAGAATATGTTATATTGAGGTATTTTTAAGGAGTAGCAAGTTATAACGAAAAAAAAAATGTCGCCGTATGAACAAATTTCACATAGTATGAATAATTACGCTTTAATTGATCGACGATTAAACACTTTCATACATCTATGTATAATTAAATAATATGTGACTGGTTATTGCTCAACAGTAGTAACAGTTTTGTACTAAATAGATAATCTTTTAATGACTCCTATTTGGTATAATAATCACCATAAATATTGCACGGCATGCTGTGAAGCATATACAGATTGGTTTAAAATTGTAATAAAGTCGTCTTATTTTCAATGTACAACAATATCAGCTATTTCCTATTACCAACTGACAAGGATCATGATTTCACATCAAACATCGAAAGAATAAATCCACAATAAAATATTTCTCAATATTAACTATCATCCAAAAACCCCAACACCTTCAAGGTTGTCAAAATTTTTTGCGTATCACGTTTTATCAACTTCTTCAGGAGCGATTTATGCGGTAGTAATATAGTTTTATGGTAGTCATCAAAAGGTTGTTAAAACTTTCTGACCTGGAGGAGGATTTATAGTTTCATTTTTAACAACCACGTGTAGAGTATGATAAAACTGACATAAAACCTATGCTCCTAAGGTAGTTCGCATATCAAGTTTTAATGATTGCATTAAAACTGGGCCAATTGGCCATGACATGGCTGTATAGCGGTTCTCAGGAGGTTGTTAGAGCAATGTGGTCGTCAGTGAAGGTTGTTGAAAATCGTTTCAATAGGAATTTTCCGATGTTATAATTCTCCACCGACGGCAATAAAACGCAATATTCGGTTTTGGGAGAATATAATTTTCCTGTAAGATGCAGGACATTTGAGATCAATATTAGTTATATAAATTTTGTGTTTCATAATAGTATCAATTAAATTCAGTATTTGTGCCTTAAAGATGTAAGTTTAGATTGTAATTTTAGCCGGTAAGACTTACGTTTAGTTCCTATAGCATATAACTCCCGGCTGGGATTTAAGTGGGTTCTTGACCTGATTATTGTGGTTGTCCGATTGGCTTTCGTAGGGTAAGATTAATATGGTTTAATCCTCTCGTGACCTTTGAAACGCAATTCACGGCAATATCCTACATAATTAAGTAGATTAATAGTAATTTTCGAGGAAACAATGTAGTTTAAGTTTCTCACCGATTGTAGTGTCTAAAAGAATGGCGGCACTATTGCAAAGCTGGTGTTATTGTTGTGGGTAACTGGTTCAAACAATTTCATGG